TTTTTTTTTTTTTTTTTTGTGGAAGGTAAATGAGTTTCATTAATGTAAAAACAACAGAAGAGATACATTTATGGATTGCCATTTCCAGTATTGCTCTAGTTGGACTTCTTATGTCCGCATATAGATCAAATAGTAAATATTCATTTTTAGTTAGTTTTTGAACTGCTGCTCAATCAATTAGTTATAAAATATCATTAACTCTATGTATTATTAATAGGTCACTAACAAAATACCGCATTTAGAAGTTCATTTACTCTGCAATTTAGACAATGGAATTGTGATGCTGAGATCTTGGGTTAATGACATGAGTTTTAAATTTGAATTTGGATTAATTAGTAACACTAAAAGAAAACAAACAAAGCACTCCTAGGCGAGGGCTTAGTGTAAAACAAAAGAAGACATATTATGCATGGGGTGCCAAGAAATGTTCTAGGTACCCCATATAGAATAGCCAGTGATGGAACTATAAGTAAGGCCCTTAAATTTTAAAATTTTTCATTGTTACCCACATATTTTTTTAAAAAATTATTGTTAATCTCTAACATTTCAAAACACTTAATGTGTAATTACCTCACTTAGTGTATTCAAAAAGATCAATGACATAATAAATTTAGTAATTATTTAGGATATAATCAAATGAATGCGTGTTGGTTGTACTTACGAAAACGCTTGTTGGATTAATTTGATGACTGTATTTGAAAAAAAATAGGAACAAATATGTTTTATATCAAAAGTAGTTTGTTGACTTATAATTCATTTTTATTATGGTATCATATGAAATTATTATTGGTGACCATAACTTATTTATAGACATAAAGTTATATTATAAACAAGAAAAAAAAAGAGGACGATAATATTGTCACAAATGAATTTTTATGATGGTGTGATCCAATTTTTGAATTTTGTGTTTAAAATTAATTTTTTCGATGGCATGGTATAAAAATTAAATTTAATAGGTTCTTTATAAATAAAAAAGTATCATTAATAATGACCATTAAATAATCTCATGGAATTAAACTTTTATATATATCATTATTGACCCCCTCAATATAAAATCCTTACAAATCGAGAAATGGTTCAATATAAAATCCTGATTCTGTGCCCGAGAATAGTCCTTACACCATGGATACAAGATCAAAGATCAACAAAATGTTATGCAAGGCCGGAGCTGGGGAGCTGCCATACACGAACCAGTCTCTGGTAGACTTGTTCCTGGTTCCAGGTGACCCACAGATTTGTTGGTGTAGCCTGGATTGTCTTTCCATCCAGTTATAGTAGACAATCATCTGTAGACTGAGCTTCTAAAGCACTCTAAGCGCTGAGATTTGCCCTTCCATTTCTCAGTTGCATATACCAAAACTTGTTGGCAGGTACCCCTATCTCAAATGCCTCCACACAATTGCATTAAATAGGACCAGATATGGTGGGAGTACTAACATTCAAAGAACAAGTGATTGTGGGATTTGTTAGATAGCCTGCATTGGATGCATTCATAACCCAACTGAGGAGCAAACAATTGGGTCCTATCCTAGTAAGGATGACTCTATCAGATGGATCCTTACCCCTAATGGCCTCTTCTCATCTGCCAGAGTCTTGAACCATTTAAGGATTCATACCCTATCTGTCCCGTGGCACCACTTGGTCTGGTTCTTATTGTTTACCCTGTGCTCCTAATCAAAATTTAGATTGCCCAAACGAAACAAATTTTGTTGAAGAAAATCATTCAAAACCACGGACTGTGTCGCTTAAAAGAAGAACAATTTGGATGTATGCCAGAGTCTTAATTTCAACAAGCGTTTTCCGATTCATGTTCATAAGGTTTAAGGAAAAGGTTTTCAACTAAACTAGTCGACCAACGTCTCTCTCACATGTTTGCCCGCTTGAAATTGAACGATGAGAGAAATCAATGTGGACCGCACATCTGTGAAATTGAGCATTACGTGATTATAGTTCAGCACTGATATTACATCTTTGAACCCAATGCTAGCACTTTGCAACTTAGTTCAACACTCATGGATAGAGTACACTACTAAAAACTTACCACCAGAGGCTAAAGGTTGTCCATAGCACACATGGATAGGGGACATTCCTTGTGCATTTGCTACATTAATCAGACACTAAAATGAGAGAGTTTATCATGGTTCAACTCTTAAGATATCCTCTTGATAAAATGAATATAGACAATATTCGACGAGAACTAATTATATATGGAGTTGTACTTTAGCTTCAGATCAGCAACCTTATTGATTCAAAATTCATTTAGCTATTTGAATATTGACCTCACTAATATATAGAAAACCTATCCTTTCCAGCTAACTTCAAGCTTTGTTTGTTGAAGTAGTCTCAAATACTTTTCAGTGGAATTCAATCGTTGGATGGTGAAAATGAAATAATCAATGAATTAAATTGTACATATCAAAGGTAGCAAATTAAGTATCTAATGGTAAGCCCCTTTCTAATCAGCAGAGCCATGCTCCATTTCTATCTATTAAACATCTTGGATGGCTAGCTAAGTTAGTCTCATCAACCCTATGCCTGTAACCTGACCCACATGGAAATTAGTATAGATATCCGCAGGCGTGACAAGATGGCAGTCCCCCCCGCCTTTCCCTATCTATGAGGTCGACAAAAGGACAAATACCCCTTAAATAAAAAATAGTGCCCATCAGACTACAGAGATGGGAGGGTGTATTAGCTTTTAGTGGTCATAACCCTAAAATGGAAAAATACAATAAATTAACAACTAGGGAAGAACATAACTGGAATTTTCAGGGTTTAGTTCGTCCCCTCTTGTGCTGTATAAAGAATTAAAGCAACTATTTTCAATCTAGGCATATAAATTAATGTAAATGAAAATTTTAGAGACAATAAAAATACTTTTTTCACATTCATGTGAACCATGTTCTAGGTTTCATGTTACTTTTAAATAACCCCAAACCCCGAAAAAGGGTATTGAATAATAGAAAATTAATTTGGAAGTACGTGTGATTCAGTATATCTCTCCACATCGTAACAAATGATATTTAAGTATTCAAGTGACATTTTTGTAAAAAATGAGAACACCCGGCTTCCAAAATTCCTGAAAAGGGAGAAAAAAAAAGTTGGTTATAAAGATTGTACGTTTCAAAAGCTGTTGGAAATAATTTGACAATTAGCATTTTCCTTGGGGTTAATGNGAAAAATGAGAACACCCGGCTTCCAAAATTCCTGAAAAGGGAGAAAAAAAAAGTTGGTTATAAAGATTGAACGTTTCAAAAGCTGTTGGAAATAATTTGACAATTAGCATTTTCCTTGGGGTTAATGTTATTAGCCATCTATATAAACAATTTGAGATATGGCTCTGTTGATCTGCTCTTATGGCAAACCGATATGGTTGAGTTTTCATTGACAACTCTGGGATAGGCTTTCATTATCTTCTTCTTGGGAAGGGGAAATGTATGGATTAATTACTCTTGGATTTTATGTGCTTAGTTAGAATCTAGTGAAGTCTCTTGAAGGCTAAAGCCATTTTTTTTCCTTTTCTCAGATTGAATTTTTTTCAGAAACTATAGCAAAACAGCACTTTAGTGCAGCCAATTTCAAATAATTTTTTTAATCTGAGTAGTTGAAAAAAAAAACGAAAACAATTTTGTACTGGTGGATAACATGAATCACCCTCTCAAATGATTAGGCAATTTACTAGAAAATGTACCATCCTTCTGCAGTCAGCTTGAAGCCACCATGCATCTGAGGAAACCAGCACTAGAATATTGTATATCTAGCATTAAATCAAAGCAAGATTAATGGTAGAAATCCAAATATCAAGAATGATACTTTGTTGCACAGTTTCCATCCATGTAATTAAAAGAGTAATACTACTTATACCAAATTTATTCTACGAGTTTGTTGACTTAATTTATAACTTAGTTTGGTTGGATTAATGATCGATTTGGCCTAAATAAATTGATTATATTAATAAATTAGCTAGAAGTAGCATCATCGAAATTGTAAAGATAGATACAATTCCAATAACAAGTTAATGTCCAGCATCACCAATACCTTTGGGATAATATATTCAGTTACCAGCTCATCTTTTATGACCAATACCCTAAAATTAATGTCAACCCTTCCTTAATATTCATCATCATCACTTACAGGTTCACACTGATTTATAGAGGTCCATAAGAAGCCCCATTACAGAATAAAACCTTTGTAAGATGAGTGCTATGACCTTCTGTACTTGTCGAGCAGAGACATGCAGGAAACTCCTTTTAATTTTTTTCCCCTCCTTAAATCTTTCTGAAATTGGTTAACTGTTCATTTAAGTTTTTATCAGATTCCAATTAATATTGGATGCAAGTAACTTCTTTTGCTTTATTATAAATTTATAACACCAGAAAAAGTTTTTGGGTATAACAATACGATGTTATAGAGAATACAAGTCAAACATTTAACCTTGTAATTCATTGGACTGAAAAAAAAAATAATAAATTGTTTTCACAGGCGTCTCCCTGTTCATGTCAAGGAGGCAAAGAGCAACAGTGAAGAAGGAAAAATGGGGGACATCTCCACAGCCATGATAGTATTATTAGATGCAGTGTCATAGTCATCTTTTTTAGTGTACCCCCCAATTTATTACCTTTGTCTTTTGCCTTCATTCCTTCTCCATCCACTCAATGCTCTTTGCCTGCCTTCCTTCTCCTCCCATTACTTTTTGCCACTGAACTTGCAAGTTCTCTCTCTCTCTCTTTCTCTCTCTCCCTCTCTCTCTCTCTCTCCGCCCTCAATTAGGGTTTCTTCTTTGAGCACTCACTTCCAGCAATGAATCTGTGAANCCTCTCTCTCTCTCTCCCTGTCTCTCTCTCTCTCCGCCCTCAATTAGGGTTTCTTCTTTGAGCACTCACTTCCAGCANTTTCTCTCTCTCCCTCTCTCTCTCTCTCTCCGCCCTCAATTAGGGTTTCTTCTTTGAGCACTCACTTCCAGCAATGAATCTGTGAAGTTCATATCTCTCATTTGACTACAGCATATCATCCTTGAAGAAGCAAAGATTCCAGAAAGAGCTCCCACAAGGAAAAAGGTACTGTCCTTTTTGTTCATCAGATCAAAAAAACCTTTAAAAACAGGTAATTCATGGAGCTTCTTTATTGCTTTTCAATGATAATTTCCTCTTTCTGGCTTTTGTTTCTTTGGGAAAGGTAAGGAGTGCAGTGATACTATATCCTCTGAGTTACAGTTTTGGATTTAGGGTTTTCCTGTATGTGGATTTTGTAGGTAAAACAACAGATGTTCATGCACTCTTACCCTAATTGTGAAAACATAATTATGGGTGATTACACCAGTCGGATCCCATATTGAGCTGATCATTCCAGATGAAGGAAATCATTACCATATAATAACTGATGCAACTAAAATCTTCCAAATCTGACAGTCCAAACATATGGTGAAAGAAAGGGTGGGAAAGGAAAGAATAAGATAGAAAACAAAATTAGAAACCAGATTAAAGAGATCATGCAGAGCTACCTGGTGGATTGTGAACTTAATAATATTACAATTAAGCAAAGAAAATAGCGGACAATGCAAAAAACAGAAAGTAGTTATGGAAATGGAACCAACAAGAGATAAATCGTCTCCAGAATCAGGCAAGTATGAATGTGTTGTTTGTGAGACGGTGTATGTGTATGAGAGAGAGAGAGAGAGACCAGGGGTTCTGGAAATCGGAGCTTTAGTAGTCTTTTTTCTGACAATTGGGTAACTCACAGTGGTTGGAGTAATTGTCCATCAACTGCTCGAAATTCCCTTGATGAACTTCACACGCAGGACCAAACCGATAAATCTGCGAAAAACAACAATAAAAGAGAGGAGAAGAGAAAGATTATAAATGGAATAAGGAAAACAAGGAGGAGAAGAAAATATTTCTTAGAACCATCTTAATTTGTGGAGTGTTTAATCGTCAATGAGGCATTTTTTCTTCAATAAATCAGACTCTCTCTACAAAGAACCAACGGAAGAAGATCATATAGTATAGTTCAAATTGAAGAAATCTTACGTAAATAAAATGTTAAATGTGGCTGCTTGTATTCTCTTGGTTCAGATAAAATGGCCTCATCGAGCTCATACAACCCTCCCTGCGCTGCTTGCAAGTTCTTGAGGAGGAAATGCATGCCAGGTTGCATCTTTGCACCATACTTTCCACCAGAGGAGCCCCAGAAATTCGTCAATGTCCACAAGATCTTCGGTGCAAGCAATGTAACTAAGCTCCTCAATGAGCTTCTTCCTCATCAAAGAGAGGATGCAGTGAACTCTCTTGCATATGAAGCAGAGGCACGAGTGAGGGATCCGGTGTACGGTTGCGTTGGTGCCATCACCTTCCTCCAAAGACAGGTTGAGAGGCTTGAAAAGGAGCTCGACGAAGCAAATGCCGACTTGATTCGCTATGCTTACAATGAGATTCCGACTGCGTTGCCTGCACAGCCGGGAGTGAGTTCAGTTCATCCGATAGCTCCTCCCCTGAGGCCGGTTGAGTTCAGTAGAAGAATGGGGAATGAAGGAGGAGGTTTGTATCAAACAACTTCTTTCCCCTTTCCCTATCCTCTTCCATGGAGTGAGAACCCTTCTGGGGATATTCATGGAGGAGGGGGAGAAAGAAACATATGACTTTGGAGGACACCCACATTCCCTATGACTGTGTCTCTCTCTTGGGAAAGCACCAGCAGAAGTTCTCTTGTGGTATGCTATCACATTATATTGGGTAATACTATTGAGACAACTTAAAATCCGACTGAATTCGCTGAACTAATGGTGTCAAGTGATATGGTTTGAACGAATATGTCTAAGCGTCGTACTAAGAATAACGTTTTTGATCCATATCATCTATCATACATCATTAAATCAGTAAATAAAGTCAAATTTTAGATCCTAATAGCAATATTCAATTATATTTGCTTGTGGTTTGGGGCTAGCCTCAGATGGCCTCTTCTAGCTAGACCAGTAAGTCCTATTAATCTGGAAAACAATTGTGTCTCTAGAACCTATCATGCTAGATATAGCATGGGATATGTCTATGGCTACTTGATCTTATATATCATGAGTGCAACCCTAGAGAATGGCCATGTGAAGTGCCCTAATCTCTTGGATTGTTTAAGCTTTAGAATAAAAGCAATTATTTATTTAATTGTAAAGAGTATTCCCTAGCCTAAGTCTACCGCTTGCTGCTCCATTACAAGTTCTCAATTTAAGTTGCTGCTTGTTCTTGAAGACCGCTACTTAATTCCTCAGACAATTTGTTAAAGTCATTTCTGGCATATATTCCAAAAAACCCTATAGTGAAGGGAGGCTCATGCAATGAATCCGAAAACCGGTATTGGGTTTCTCATTAGACTGATCCTCCTTTGTCTAAGAAGACAAGTTCATGACTAAGGAGAACAGTGCAGAAAGCTGTTTGTCAAAGTCTTCATATATGAACCAACAGAGCAAAGAAACATCATTGCAGCTTTGAATGAGTGTCTGCTTGCAGTCAAATTTTTACCAAGATATCCATTTTTTCCATTTTTGAAGTTTTCTTTCTTTTTAAACAAAAGATCAATGTTATTTTGATTTTATTTGCTGACCTAGTCATTTATAATTATTAAATTGACAACAATCTAGTATTTGTTAGNAATTTTTACCAAGATATCCATTTTTTCCATTTTTGAAGTTTTCTTTCTTTTTAAACAAAAGATCAATGTTATTTTGATTTAATTTGCTGACCTAGTCATTTATAATTATTAAATTGACAACAATCTAGTATTTGTTAGGACTATGTTAGCAAATTAGATCCAAATGACATTTTGTAAAGTAGATATTTGTGTGAGTTTGTTATCTTAAATCGGCTTGTGTTACCTCAGCTTTGCCCCAGACAGCTATACTTCCTTTTACCTAGAAGTAGAATAGTAAGCAACAGTTAAAACTCTCCTTGGGTCCATAAAAATGTTCTCACGGGGAAGAACTTTCAGCTTTTCATACTATTCTATCATCCTAATTCATACTATTCTATCATCATAATTCTATTTCCCAGACACAGTAGTATCATCCTATCATCCTCTCTCTCTCTCTCTCTCTCTCTCTCTCTCNCCTAATTCATACTATTCTATCATCATAATTCTATTTCCCAGACACAGTAGTATCATCCTATCATCCTCTCTCTCTCTCTCTCATATTGCTGTATGTTTTTTTTAAACTATTAAATCATTAATTACATGTGATGGTATTAATGATACTGATAATGATGAAGCTCCTTCAGTGTTAATAGAAGCATTTCTTACTTTAAAAACATAATGAAGTGCCCTGGCCAGATAAATTAACCAATCGAGTAACTCCAAAAGCATTAGGTTTAGGGTTTTGATTTACATTAGAAGAACANATTAAATTATTAATTACATGTGATGGTATTAATGATACTGATAATGATGAAGCTCCTTCAGTGTTAATAGAAGCATTTCTTACTTTAAAAACATAATGAAGTGCCCTGGCCAGATAAATTAACCAATCGAGTAACTCCAAAAGCATTAGGTTTAGGGTTTTGATTTACATTAGAAGAACACATTACCAACATTTCTTTGTTCATGTAACAGTCAAGTACGTGTGGGTTTGAGTTTGCTAGTACTGTGTTTCCGTGCAAGTGGGGGTGCTCTCTCTCTCTCTGTCTCTCTCTCTCCATGTTTGTGTGTGTGTGTGGATCTGTTCTAGTTCTGAGGTTCCATTCAAATTGTCATATCGATCGGCTAACTTTCTGGAGATCTTGAAAGGATCCCCTTGGATTCATGTACTGTCGGAATTTTGGTGAAAGAAATCTTAGTGGGATCTGATCATCTCACCAAGTACTTCCTGTGTATTTCAGTGGAAGCCATTGTAGCAATCTATACTGNCATGTTTGTGTGTGTGTGTGGATTTGTTCTAGTTCTGAGGTTCCATTCAAATTGTCCTATCGATCGGCTAACTTTCTGGAGATCTTGAAAGGATCCCCTTGGATTCATGTACTGTCGGAATTTTGGTGAAAGAAATCTTAGTGGGATCTGATCATCTCACCAAGTACTTCCTGTGTATTTCAGTGGAAGCCATTGTAGCAATCTATACTGCTTTTACCCCTTGATTTTTTTATCTACTTGTTCATGGGAGATCTTAAATTTTGATTTAAATTATTTATTGTCATTAATTATAAAAATATTAAGATAATATAAAACAATAAAATAATAAAAAAATGTCATGATGAAATTTGTAAATCGACAAAGGAATATATATATATTATCTAACCCAACATCCACCTTGAATTTTTAATGCACATTTGTACATGTGGAGTAATATTGTATGGATCAATGTATTATTTACTGATCCAACTTTTTGTGGTTAGCTAAAAAATGACTTTAATATTAATATATCAATTGTCATAGTGAATTAGATAAATAAATTATATTAATAAATTGGGTATCAAACAACCTTATTGGTACCTGCATGATATTTTTACTAGTCTTCCCCTTTAACATCTTGGACTCCATCATTATTCCACTCACTTTGTAATTTCGACACAGCCACAAATTAGAACAAAAAAGTTTTTTTTTTTTTTTTTGTTTTTTCTGAATAAAAATTTTGGGTATATTGAGGGATCAATAACTTTTAAAAGGATAATTTATCCTAAAATTGTGCGTAATAATAACCAAAAAATCTTTTATAAAGTATGATTCTCACCACGCTTGTTGCTATCATATATAGCTATGTCTCGCCAGACCGTGGTGCACCTAGGGATTCCCCGTGTCCGTGACCTCCACACCAGAAAAGCCAATCACATACTTGACCAAGAGTTATGATTTGGTCACCACATAATGAATGTATATAGCATACAATTATTTACCTTTTCCGGGGAAAAAAACATACAAAATGTTAAATGAAAGATTCGTGGTTGAGTGAATTTAGGACTGACCCATGAAAAACCTAGAATTTAATGATAGGATAAGCTATAGTACCCACACAAAAATCCAGATACCATACCAAGAAATTGATTCTAACTGTATATTTTGTATTGATTTATTTATGGCCATTGATCTTAAAATGATAAAATAAAATAAAACAATAATGCGGTTTGCACTTTTCTTGAGCTCTTCACTGTTGGATATATGGGCTGTTGAACATGGCGTTTCTGAGCTTTTGCTGGGTTCTGCAGAATTTTTTTTTTTTTTGCAACACGGGTTCTACAGATGAAGGATGCAACAGTGGTATTTCAGAATCCATCAAACATCAATCTTCTGTTAGACGTGCAAAAGAAGCAAAGAGCAGGTGCAAATTGTCAGGTTCTAAAGACAATAGGAGGAAAAGCGATGTGCAGCGGAGGTCCTGTTCATGCCCCCACCAGAAATTCTTATGTTTCTCTTTGATTTGAGTCAGGATTTGTTTCCTTAGGTTGGATGTTGTTGATCATGTCCTCCAATCTCTCTCTCTCTCTCTCTCTCTCTCTCTCACACACACACACACACACACTGGGAGCTAGAGTTAATATCCTTATCAGAAATTGACTTTAGCCATGGCATGATAAGACTGAAATATAAATATAGATATCGCAGGTGTCTGATTGCTTAGGAAAATAGAAAATGACATGCATTGCACTTTATTNTAATATCCTAATCAGAAATTGACTTTAGCCATGGCATGATAAGACTGAAATATAAATATAGATATCGCAGGTGTCTGATTGCTTAGGAAAATAGAAAATGACATGCATTGCACTTTATTATATCATAAATTTTCTTCCTTTTACAACCACAACCTCCCAAAATATCTCCTATCTCTTATGATTTCCAAAAAGTTTATATGTTAGAAATTCACTCATAACAGTGTCGTAAACTAAAACAGATTTGAAGTAGAGGAGTTTTATGTGCAATATCACATCAATCCAACTAGGTCTTCGCCTTAATGATGTGCATCTGAATATATATATATATAAAAGAATAATTGACCAAGATAACAAAACTATAACTAGACAAAAGTATAATAGGATGAGGGGTATATTAACTTTGTGCAATAGTTTATTGGTCTTTTTTTTTTTTTTTGAGCAGTTCAGTCCTTTTTTTTTATATTTTTTTTGAACAGTCAGTCATTTCATTCATAAGTGAGGATATAAAATATTCGAATAATGTTATTAAGATCTAAAAAATTGACCTAATTTATTGATCTAGTGACATGACTCAATATTTGGACTTTTTTGTTGGGACTCAATATACCGTTATGTCAGTAAATNTTTATTGATCTAGTGATATGACTCAATATTTGGACTTTTTTGTTGGGACTCAATATACCGTTATGTCAGTAAATNAAAGAATAATTGACCAAGATAACAAAACTATAACTAGACAAAAGTATAATAGGATGAGGGGTATATTAACTTTGTGCAATAGTTTATTGGTCTTTTTTTTTTTTCGAACAGTTCAGTCCTTTTTTTTTATATTTTTTTTGNTAAATGAAGAATTGACCAAGATAACAAAACTATAACTAGACAAAAGTATAATAGGATGAGGGGTATATTAACTTTGTGCAATAGTTTATTGGTCTTTTTTTTTTTTTTTGAGCAGTTCAGTCCTTTTTTTTTATATTTTTTTTGAACAGTCAGTCATTTCATTCATAAGTGAGGA